ATAGTCTAGTCTATAGTCTAGTCTATAGTCTAGTCTATAGTCTAGTCTATAGTCTAGTCTATAGTCTAGTCTATAGTCTAGTCTATAGTCTAGTCTATAGTCTAGTCTATAGTCTAGTCTATAGTCTAGTCTATAGTCTAGTCTATAGTCTAGTCTATAGTCTAGTCTATAGTCTAGTCTATAGTCTAGTCTATAGTCTAGTCTATAGTCTAGTCTATAGTCTAGTCTATAGTCTAGTCTATAGTCTAGTCTATAGTCTAGTCTATAGTCTAGTCTATAGTCTAGTCTATAGTCTAGTCTATAGTCTAGTCTATAGTCTAGTCTATAGTCTAGTCTAGTCTATAGTCTAGTCTATAGTCTAGTCTATAGTCTAGTCTATAGTCGTCTATAGTCTAGTCTATAGTCTAGTTTATAGTCTAGTCTATAGTCTAGTCTATAGTCTAGTCTATAGTCTAGTCTATAGTCTAGTCTATAGTCTAGTCTATAGTCTAGTCTATAGTCTAGTCTATAGTCTAGTCTATAGTCTAGTCTATAGTCTAGTCTATTAGTCTATAGTTAGTCTATAGTCTAGTCTATAGTCTAGTCTATAGTCTAGTCTATAGTCTAGTCTATAGTCTAGTCTATAGTTAGTCTATAGTCTAGTCTAGTCTATAGTCTAGTCTATAGTCTAGTCTATAGTCTAGTCTATAGTCTAGTCTATAGTCTAGTCTATAGCCTAGACTATATTAAACATTAAACTCTGAAAAGCAGAGATACGAAAAAAAAATAAAACAAATGCACAAAGGAAGTATATATAGTCTAGTCTACAGTCTAGTCTATAATAGTATAAGAAAATCTAAACTTTCCTTAGGTAGTTTCTAATGGAATTGCCCATATAAATAGATTTACTCTACAACTTAACGCACACGCTTTCCACAAGAAAACATTCACACACACACACATTTTAATGTTCATTTTCATATGTTTGTAAGTATGTAGTTGTTTGTATGTAAACAAAATATTAAACATTAAACTCTGGAAAGCAAAGAGATACGAAGAATAAGAAAAAAAAAAAAACAAATGCACAAAGAAAGTATAAGACAACCATAAACAAGTCCAAAATTCATGCTCCCAGCAGTTGAATTTTCTCCAAACCTCTGCAGTTAAAAACGTTAGCAGAAAACATTGGCGCAGACGCAAGCGTTGAAGCTAGCTTTCAGACTGCGGTCTAAACAGCTGACCGATCAGCTAAAGAAACGGGGCTTTCTAAAGAAAACTATTTGAATAAGAGCAAATAACTAAAACCAAAGCAACTAACTAATCAACTCACTTAGTGACTAACTCACTCACTCACTCACTACTACCGTTTGGCTTCTTGTTCGTGGTTGTCTTTAACTTTTTTTCTTTAATTTTGTGGATACCTTTTTGTTGTTGTAGTGCGTTTCTTTGCTGGTATGTATGGAAGTGTGTGTGTGTGTGTCGTTGTGTGCACAATCAAATGGAGAGTGTGTTGGCCTTAATGAGAACCGTTATGTGGTGCGCGTAAGTCGTTGGCCATAAACACACAGATATACACGGTTACACACAAAAACAAACATAAATAAAAAACACTACTAACGAAGAAGCAGCAACAAGTGTGAAATGAAGAAAAAAGACATAGAAGAAGAAAAGAAGTAGAAAAAAGTCAGCACCAGAAATGTTTTTTATAATAAAAACAAGCAAACAGAGAGTTGGGGAAAAAGTCCAATAACACAACAATAACAAGTATAATATACCCCACTCGTACGAAATAAAAAACACATTCACTCGCGAACGCTACAAATGTAATAATGTGACCACAAGCAGGCGTTAGTTGGTTGGTAAAACTTCTTCTTGTTTAACGTTTAAATCCAGAGTTTTAGTTTTTTACTAAGATTGCTGATTCTTTTATACATATAGTTTTTTTTTTTTTTCTCATTATCATCATTGAGTATCTTCTACAAGCATCGCCATCAGCAGCCCTGGCTCCAGTAGTAGAAGTATCAGAAAAACATAAATAATTTCATTTGGCTGTTTGTGGTCTTTCTTTTTTTCCGTATTGTATTTATTTCTTTGTCTGATTTTTACATTAAAGTTTAAGCTTTTTTTCACTTTGAATATGTATTTTTATGTTCTTCACATTGAAATCTAAAAAAAAAATTATAAACACACACACAAGATTTTTTTCTTCACTTCTTCTGTTGTTTTTGTTGCTTCCTTTATGCTGGTGATGTTTTATTTTTTATTGGTAAAAGAACTATAAATAATGCTTACGGTCTAAAGTGTACAGTGGTATTGAATAGGGTTAAAAGAATTGTATTCGGGAATTGATTTTTTAATTAAACTGATAAAAGCTTTTTTCATTTTTAGCTTTTTTAAAGCGTTTATGGGCTTCTTAATACATAGATATTAAAGTGAAAAACAAAAACTTTTAAAGTTTTAAAGTTTTATTAAAAAAGCTTCTTTCTGATGAACAGTTTTTGTGAATAAAGGGCAATGCTCTTAACATAGATGACAGCTCATAAAGTGATAAAGCTTTTTTACTAAAGCTATTTCTTACCCGAAACAAAAGCTTTTTCAAGCGTAAAAGCTTTTTTTTTTATTTGTAGTATTTTAATTTAATTATTTTAGTAATAAAAGCTTTTCATAAAGCTGCTTAATTGATTAACACTTTTAGTAAATAAAGCTTTTTTTAACCTACCAAAAACTGTTCAAATGAAAAATAATTTAAAAGCTCCTTATGTTGATCAAGGGTCTTTTTAATGGAAAGAAAGAAATAAGTTTTAGTGGAAAATGTTATTTTAAGTGAAAATTGCTTTTTAGTGAAAAATTGGATTTTTTGTGAAAAATTTTATTTTTGGTGAAAAATTAGATTTTTAATGAAAAGTTAGATTTTTAGTGAAAAATTAGATTTTTAGTGAAAAATTAAATTTTTAGTGAAAAATTAGATATTTAGTGAAAAATTTGATTTTTAGTGAAAAATTTGATTTTAGTGAAAAAATTGATTTTTAGTGAAAAAATTGATTTTAGTGAAAAAATTGATTTTTAGTGAAAAAATTGATTTTTAGTGAAAAAATTGATTTTTGGTGAAAAAATTGATTTTTGGTGAAAAATCGAATCAGCTTTAAGCAAAAAAACGTTCTTAATGCAAAAAAGCTCTTTTATTTTAAAAGATCTTTAATTTAAAAAGCTTTTTAAGCGGATTTTTTTAGTTGAAAAAGCTTTTTGAAGTTAAATAATCTAATAGTTATAAAAGCTAAACAAATTATTTAAAAAGTTTTTTAAGGGAAAATATTTTTTTAGTAAAAAAGCTTTCAACAGAAAAACTTTCTTAAAACGCTAAAAGCTTTTTGATGTGAAAAAATAATTTTCATTTTAAAAACGTTTTTAAGTAAAAAAGCTTTTTTGAATAAAAGCTTTTTTTAATAAAAGCTTTTTTGAAAGCTTTTTTTGAGTAAAAGCTTTTTTAAAAAAACGCTTTTTTGAGTAAAAGCTTTTTTAAGTTAAATAAATTTTAAAAGAGTTAAAAGCTTTTTAAACTGTTTTTTCTTTATTTTAAAACCTCCTTTAGATTAGAAAGTCTTTTTTAATAAAGGAAACTTTTAAATGAAAAAGATTTATTTAAGCTATAAAAGTTTTTTTTTATTTTTAATTAAAAAAAAACGTTCTTCAAAGTAAAAAAGAGCTTCTTGAAGAAATTTTAGGTGAAATAATTTTTAGTAAAATAAAAGCTTTTCAAAATATAACAAAACTTTTTAATAAAAAAGTCTTCTTTATGCAATAAAAGCTTTTTTTTAATGAGCAATGAAAATTCATCTTATTTAAAAAAGCATTTCAAAGTACATATTGAAAAGCTTTTTGAGCAAATTTTACCTGAAATAATTTTTAGTAAAATAAAAGCTTGCCTAAGAGATGGCAAAATAAACTGTCATTAGATGAAGAAAAGCTTTCCTTCCTTGATATGACTTTTCTTGGGTTTATATTAATATTTTTGAACCACTGTGGCTGAGTTTATGTTTGTGTATGTTAGTGTTATTAACTTTTGATGATGAGATGGCTTTTGACGGAATAACACACCAAAGTCAAAGTCAAGGCAAGCGACGCAGTCGCAGAGACGTTTTAATGCTCAAACAGCAGAAAACACATGCGCAGACACAGAGCGCAAGCAAAAGACACAAACGTTTCTTTCTTTTTTTCATTGTGTTTTGGCTAATCCTCTGTCTTGGCCACAGATACATTTCATATCCATCAGCAACAACAACAACAACAGCAATAACATGTAACCAAACAAACGAAGCAACGACGACTTAAACAGAATATATGAATGACTTGACTTACTGACTGAACAGAGTGCAGACCATACCAGACCAGAGACCAAATGGTTTTAATGTTAAGAGCTTGTTACTTTTGGATCTTCAGTTGCTGTTAAACATTTGCCTTTGTCGGTAAGGCCTTTTAAAAAAGCGGTCGCAAGTAACACACAAAAAGAAACATTTTTACACACTTTCAAACGCACACACACACATGCCACCGCAATACAGTTATAAACAATTTTTGCGATCGAAGAAATTTTTTTTTAATAAATAATTTAATTTAAAGCTTTTTGTTTTGAAAAAAAGAAAAGTGAATAAAAAATTTAAATAAAAATTTTAAATGAATTGAAATTTTACGAAATTTTTGTGTGTTTTTGTTTAAAGAAAGAAAGAAAAAAACTTTAATTAAAACGTTAAAATTTTACTAAGAATTATTAACGGTATTTTTGTGTTTTTTTTATAAAGTGACTTGTTAACGTTGATTTTTTTAATTTTGTTATTTTAACCATTTAGAAAAAGTGTTTAAAAAAGGTAAAAACGAAAGAAAGTGTATAAATAATATAATAAAAACCTGTTGAAAAAAACGTAAAAAAATAAATAAAATATAAACAAACAAAAAATTAATTAGTGGAAAAGACTTTTAAAAAAACAGTTAAAATTAAATTTTTTTGAGAAAAAAAAAAGAATTAATATTAAATTTAAAACAAAATACCACTAAAATAGCGGAAAATTAAAGAAATCAAAAAGTATACAAACAAGTGCTAAAAAATATTCTTTAAAAAAATCATAAAACTTAGAGAAACATAACAACATAATAACTAACAACAACAGCTATAATTAACAAAATTCATAACTTGTATTTAACAGCTTCATGCATCCATCAAATTGTTAAAGAGACATTAACAAAAAAAAAACAGAAAAAGATACACACAACAACCTTAAAACGAACAAACAACAACAAAAAAACAAACATCTTGTCTTGCAGCCAGCAACCAAACGATCGCAAACAACCAACAACAATCAATGTCATTATTTTAAGACAAACGAGCAGCATACGAAATCGTACTCTTCAAACCCACATCAAGCCACACGCCAGCCAGCCAGGAATGCTAAAAGATCTTTCGGAAAAGGTACTAATCAAAATAAACTTTACATATTAATGTATTAATTTGTTAAACAACAAATGGTACTTTTTATGCTATAAGGGAAAGTATGTTGAATGTTTGTTTAATAAGTCAACGACCTGAGTAGAAGGATAAAAATGTCCTAAAAATTGTTGTATTCTCATAATTACAGGTTGACAGTTAGCAACCTAAACTATGTATATGGCTCCATTTAAGATATTTGGTACGAAAATGTATGCGAGAAAAGAAATTTGGTACTTTTTTGTTCCTTTAAAAAGTATTTGCCTCGATTCAAATATCACACAATTATTTGGTACTATTTTGATACTTTTCTTATAATTGTCAAAAAGTTTTTTAAAACTTTTTTTCAAGCAAAAAAAGCCATTTTAAAGCAAAACGTTTTTTAAGTGGAAAAAACTGCTTTTTTAATTGGAAAAGCTTTTTAAGTAATAAAAGCTTTTGTGAAATATGCTTTAATTGATAAATAGCTTTTTTGAATGAAATTGAAAAAAACTCCTTTTCTTCGTTTAATTACTCAAAAGCTTCATTGAATAAAAGCTTTTTAAGTAATAAAAGCTTTTGTAAAAAATGCTTTAATTGTTGAATAGACTTTTTGAATTTAATTGAAAAAAATTAATTTTCTTCGCTTAACTGCTTAAAAGCTTCTTTGAATAAAAGCTTTTTAAGTAATAAAAGCTTTTGTAAAATATTCTTTAATTGATAAATAGCCTTTGAAAAAAACTCATTTTCTTCGTTTAATTACTCAAAAGCTTCTTTGAATAAAAGCTTTTCTTAACACTTTTAGTGAATAAAAGCTTTTCTTAATACTTTTAGTGAATAAAGCTTCGTTAAGCCAAGAAAAATATCATTGATACGTACTATGTTTTTATAAATGATAAAAACTTTTTCCATTTAATCTTTTTTAAAAAATCAATTATTTAAGTGAAAAAACATTTTTTAAATGAAAAAGTTTTTTTTTAAATCCTCTTTAATTGAGGAATAGTTTTTGTAGATAAAGCTTTTCAACAAAATTGGTGAAAAAGCTTTAACACTTTTAGTAAACCAAGCTTCTTTCAACTAAAAAAAAACCTCTTTAAAACATACTGTGCTTATTTAAGCGATATAAGCTTTTTTCATTCAAGCTTTTTAAAGAAATCAATTCATTAGGTGAAAAATTGTTTAAAGCTTTTTTTTAAATTGAGGAATAATTTTTGTGAGTAAAGTCTTTTAACACACTAGGAGAAAAAGCTTAATTTCTTAAGACTGCTTTAATTGTATAAACACTTTTAGTAAATAAAGCTTCTTTTAAACAAAAAAATCTGAAATATTTTTTGTTTATTTAAGCGATAAAAGCTTTTTCATATAAGCTTTTTCTCAAGAGATAAAAGCTTTTTAAAGAAATCGATTCATTATCTTAAAATACAGCATTTAAAAGTAAAAGCTTTTTTCAAAGCTCCTTTAATTGATTAATAGACTTTGTTAATAACCCATTTTAAAACAAAAAATCTCCAGTTAAAACTCAGCTTTTTGGATAAAAATCCCTTTTTAGCTTATAAAGCTTCTTTAAGTAATAGAATCTTTTCTTAAAACAGCTTTAACTGATTAACACTTATAGTGTATAAAGCTTTTTTTTAACCAAAAACAGTAACTTTAAAACATATTGTGCTTATTTAAGTAATATAAGCTTTTATTTAAGCTTTCTTTCAAAGTTTTTTAACAGCAAAAACAAACATGAGTCAAAATAAGCTTTTCTTAAACCCTGGAACTACACTTAACTTAACTAGTTCTTTGAACTCAGCAGTTGCTTATAGTTCCGGTCATGTTTAACTTAACTAAGCATTGTCCTAGATGGGTAATATTTAGTAACTACAATATTAACTTTTACATACATATCTACTAATTTCCCACATAAAAATAAAAATTTTATTTTAATTGCTAATATAAAAATGCATATTAAATGAGCTTCATATTCAAATGTAAATGTTTAAATTACAATTTTCTCCCCTCTTCAAATTATTTATCATAAAAGTGTAAAATGTTTAAGTCATATCAACTTCATGCCTTGCAGCAAAAAATTCCATTTATTTATAACAAAACAGCCATTCTAAAATGATACCACAACTTCCTACAGATGCTAATGGTTTACAAACCAAATAAAAAACCTCTGTTGCTGCAACACTCACAAACACACTTATCTCTTAATAGTGTGTAACTAACAACCATTTACCAATAAATGAACAACATTAAACAAATATTTAAATCTAGCTACTTTTATAATCTTAAACTAAGAAGAAAGAAGTTTTTAAAAAAATAGTAGTAGTATTAGGTAGTAATATCTTACAAGGAATAGTAGTATGCTGTGCCAAATTCTGGTATTTGTTTAAGGCTTAAAAACACCACCTCCTGTTACTAAAGGCTTCTTTCGACATCAAATTAAACCACTTTAAAAATTTCTGTTAAAATAATGTTATTTCTTTTATTATTTATGCTGTTGCTTGCTATAGTTTGTTTGGGGTTTGTCTTGGATGTTTAAACAAACCTTTAAGCTGAAAAAACTTATACGCATTTGTATATGTACATATATAATACAAAAAACCGCATTAAATTCTTTAAAATAAAAGAAAAAATTATATCTCTGCACAACAACAGGTTCTTCTTATTGTTCGTTATTATCATGATCATCATCACCATGCAGCAACATCAACCTCAACATTATTTTCATCTGCAATATCAGTTGTAGAAATAAAACGAAACTAAATAACAGCATTCCTATACGAAAACAAAAAAATAACAGCAACAAAACATTATATTGCCATTACAATTCAGTCAGCAAAAGCAGCTTCCTTCTTTTGCGTAGAATTATCAGAGAGTCAGAGCAAAAGAAAAAAAAGAAGCTGAAGATTGTCCATCCATCCATCCAGCTAAGCAACCAAAGTAAAAACCATACATTTGGTATTATTATAACTATACTTATAGGCCTGGTTCAGTTCATTTTAGCTTTTTTCTTTCTTTTTTGTTGGTAGTTTAGTTTTGTTGTTGTCAGTGTTATAACAGCATCATATACAATTGGTAACAACGATTCTTGTTTATTTTATGTTGAGTTTTTTTGCAAAAACTTTTCGTACTTTTAAACTACAAACCCTACACAAAGGATGGATAATTTAGAACTACATATTGTACTTTTTGCCATTGAAAAGCTATATTATAAACTTGAGCGTATGGGCTAGTCGAAAGACTGGAAAGACTTTAGACTAGACTATAGACTAGACTATAGATAGACTAGACTATAGATAGACTAGACTATAGATAGACTAGACTATAGATAGACTAGACAATAGATAGACTAGACTATAGATAGACTAGACTATAGATAGACTAGACTATAGATAGACTAGACTATAGATAGACAAGACTATAGATAGACTAGACTATAGATAGACTAGACTATAGATAGACTAGACCATAGATAGACTAGACTATAGATAAACTAGACTATAGATAGACTAGACTATAGATAGGCTAGACTATAGATAGACTAGACTATAGATAGACTAGACTATAGATAGGCTAGACTATAGATAGACTAGACTATAGATAGATTAGACTACAGATAGGCTAGACTATAGATAGACTAGACTATAGATAGACAAGACTATAGATAGACTAGACTAGACTATAGATAGACTAGACTATAGATAGACTAGACTATAGATAGACTAGACTATAGATAGATTAGACTATAGATAGACTAGAGTATAGATAGACTAGACTATAGATAGACTAGACTATAGATAGACTAGACTATATATAGATTAGACTATAGATAGACTAGACTATAGATAGACTAGACTATAGATAGATTAGACTATAGATAGACTAGACTATAGATAGACTAGACTATAGATAGACTAGACTATAGATAGACTAGACTATAGATAGACTAGACTATAGATAGACTAGACTATAGGTAGACTAGACTATAGATAGACTAGACTATAGATAGACTAGACTATAGATAGACTACACTATAGATAGACTACACTATAGATAGACTAGACTATAGATAGACTAGACTATAGATAGACTAGACTATAGATAGATTAGACTATAGATAGACTAGACTATAGACTAGACTATAGACTAGACTATAGATACTAGACTATAGATAGACTAGACTATAGATAGACTAGACTATAGATAGACTAGACTATAGGTAGATTAGACTATAGATAGACTAGACTATAGATAGACTAGACTATAGATAGACTAGACTATAGATAGACTAGACTATAGGTAGATTAGACTATAGATAGACCAGACTATAGATAGACTAGACTATAGATAGACTACACTATAGATAGACTACACTATAGATAGACTAGACTATAGATAGACTAGACTATAGATAGACTAGACTATAGATAGACTACACTATAGATAGACTACACATAGATAGACTAGACTATAGATAGACTAGACTATAGATAGACCTAGACTATAGACTAGACTATAGATAGACTACACTATAGATAGACTACACTATAGATAGACTAGACTATAGATAGACTAGACTATAGATAGACTACACTATAGATAGACTACACTATAGATAGACTACACTATAGATAGACTAGACTATATATAGACTAGACTATAGATAGACTACACTATAGATAGACTAGACTATAGATAGACTAGACTATAGATAGACTAGACTATAGATAGACTAGACTATAGATAGACTACACTATAGATAGACTAGACTATAGATAGACTAGACTATAGATAGACTAGACTATAGATAGACTACACTATAGATAGACTACACTATAGATAGACTAGACTATAGATAGACTAGACTATAGATAGACTAGACTATAGATAGACTAGACTATAGATAGACTAGACTATAGACTAGACTATAGATAGACTACACTATAGATAGACTACACTATAGATAGACTAGACTATAGATAGACTAGACTATAGATAGACTAGACTATAGA